TTATTAAACCTTAAAATATTATGATTGGTCATGCTTGAATAACATGATTCTTTGACGTTAGCATGACCTATTTTAAAATAATTGAAACCTTACATTAATTGTAGTTAAAACTGGCCTAAAAGAATGCAGCCCAGTCTAAAGTACGCGCTGGGCTCTCAGGTGTGGGGCCCAAACTTTGTGCTGAGTCATTTTTGACAACTTTATTATTGAAAAGCTTGAAACTGCTCCCTATAAGTGCATACTAATTTTACAAATATACTGTTAAATTGTATAAAGAAGCTTGTACCATATAAAAGGCTCTCAAATGTGACCTGAATTTGAATTATATTTAATTTGTAAGCTGAAACCACAGTTTTATGGGAAACAGGAACAATAGGTTTTCAGAGTAAGCCATGCCTGTTACAGTTACAGAGCTTTCAGCTTAGATCAGCAGAGTTTCTTTAGGTTTCTTGTGTTTTATGGTAAAAAGAGGAGGAAAATGGGGCCAATGGCTCCCAAACACGTCCTAGTGGTCTCGGGGTCTACGGCCCTCCCTGATCCCTAACGCTCAGTGGGCCTCCGTGGCCGGCTCCCAACATCTTCCCCTTTATTTATTATTTTAGTACAAAACCATGAAACTCGGTGTTAAGCTGAAAAATGTTCCTTTTCAATACTCTGGAAATAACTGGAAATAGGCACAGCAAGACAAGAATTACTGTCCCGCAAATTCTTACATTAATAAGTATAGACATTAATGACTTTTGATTAGCAAACAATGAGAAGTTATTAAATATGGAACTAGTCAATTCATAGGACCGGAACTGCTTTTTAGCAACTTATGTCCTGTATGTCCTAATGTAATTTAGTGAGGTTTATATTTAAGTTCGAATGATTTTAAATTTTAAGGATATGATTTTTTATCTTGTCCCAAGTATGGACAGACTTATTTACCTCCAAAGGAATGAGGCAAATCCACTGAAACTCAGAGTGACATCAGAGAGCCAGTTTTATTTTTAAAGTTGCAAGCTCTTGTTTTACTGCTAATGCTGCCTTTTTTTTTAAAGCATTAACTTTTATTTTTTAACTTTTAATCTACAATTTTTTGAGTAGCCAATGCAATAGAAATATCCTTAGATAACTGATTAGCAAAGGTAGCTGTATGAACTTCCTTAGATAGAGCTACAGCTGAAACTGTTACTGAAGTAGTAATTGCTATTAATGCTATAATTTTTAAAATTAAGTAGCTAAAAAAAATTTTCTGTCTTTCTAACATAGCA